TTTCTCAGGTGTTCAAATACTTATGTTCAGCAGTGCAAGACAAATAAATTCTTTAAAAATCATACAATGTGATTTCCTGAATTTTTTTTTTTAATTCTGTCTCTCAGAGTGGGAATGCACCTACAATGTGAATTTCAGACCCCTCCATGATTTCTAAGTGGGAGAACTTGCAAAATCGCAGGGTGTTCAAATACTTCTGTTCCTCACTGTATTCATTCATTTTTCCTATTGTCAGCAAAAACCAACAAAGAACTTATCTTATTCCCCTGTGCTATGGACCTCCTTTGTTGTCACAAAAATTAAAAAAAACATAAGCGAATCATACCATTGCTCTGAGTGACATGTAACTTCATTACAATGAACATGGGCACAGCAGTATATTTTAAGTTCATTCCACATGTACACTGTCAAATGTACTGTTTACTCTAGTGTGAGTCATTTTCCCAAAACTATTAATCCAGAGATTATGTAGCCTTTTTAAAAAAGGTATACTATGTATATATATTTAAAGGTTTAGATCATTGGTAGCAATAGAATGGTGGTGTCCATGCTGGAAAAATTAGAAAGTAGTAAGTAAAATGTAGAAGTAAACAAACTGAGGCAGGACTGGTTTTGGTGTTTTCATTGGTTTGGCTGACAGCAACAAAAGTACAGAATATCTACAGTCTCCTGTAAATATCGAAGCAACACTCAGTGATCTGTGATTGTGAGTTGCTGCATTGCCATGTTTTGAAGAGGTGGCATATGGTAGTTAAGTATGTTTTCAATTGCACGAGTGAAATCTCAGATGCACTGTAAGCTTTGGTGAAGAGACTTTTAAGGCCAATCAGTCAGTGCTGTGCAAAACTGTAAAGAGAATGCAGTCTAATAAAGTTGTGTGAGTGAGGCATGCTAAGCTTGTGAGATGACATCTAGGGGAAAGTGACCTGGTTCCAGCTGTGTAAATACTGTACAGTACAGCAGAATAGATTAGGCCTAGGGGGTGCTGACGTGTGCCAGTGGCTTTCACTAATCTGCCTGTGTATCAGCTGGTGAGGAGTGTGTGTAGTTAGTGTGGTGGAGGAGGTAGGGATAGCTCCTCCCTACCTTCAGCCCTGTTTCTATAATCAGGAACAGGAGCTGACATCACTTTTGCTCAAGAGAGCTCAAATGGATTCTGCAACAGAAACAGAGGGTGAGGGAGAGACAGAGAAAGGGAGGGAGGGAGTGAGGGGGGAGTGGTATTTGTTGCCATGGTGAAAGGTTCTTCAACCTGCTGCTGATTTGCTTGTGCTGTAGCGCACCCCTTTCCATTCTTCTCCTCTCCCTGTCTGTCTCCTCTGTGCTGCCAGCAGCCGTTCAGGCAAGAGATTTGTACACTGCGCGGGCGGCTGTGGACCTTCCTGCTTCAGAGCTTTTACGCGGTCCGCCACACGCAGGGATGGGTGACTTTGTCATCCAAACACAGAGAAAAGATACTTGCAGGTAAGGAAGGGCATCTTTGCTATGAGCTCTGTTATTTTGCAGTTGCACACAGGGTATTCACGCTGCAGTGTGTGTGGATGTATGTGCTTTTTTTCCCCTACACAACCCAACCTAGTGCTGGTGCTGAAGCACTGCATCATTAGAGATGAACTGAAGCCCTTGGACCATATGCTGCTGTCTGATGTAACTCTTAATGGCTTCTTTCTATTCAGCTGCCTGGTCTCTATTAACCCATTTACTGTGTAGACAGTGCTGTTTTTAGACATTTTACCTTCTGAGCTGCCTTTTTAACTGTCTTGGGCAGACGAGTGTACGCTAACATGGTGAATGCACCAGGCGCGCCATGCTTGTTTTTCTTGGGTGGGAATGTAAGGCTGGATTCCTGTCTTTGTGGGTCTGCACATAAGAAACATCCACAAATACAAATATAATGATACTTCCTGACTGTTGTGCTGCAAATGTGTTTAAATGCACTGCATGAATAATTTATACAGCTGGTATCGATGCGTGCTTATTGCCAGTATAATCAGATTTCATCCCTCACATCAACTCACACCAAATGCTCTTTTTAAAATTGAGTAAATTTCTTTGAATTTGTTTTTGACTAAATAAGATGCATCATTAGGCACTGAAATTGTTTATATATGAAGTATATAATATGCCAGTTTTGTTTAAAATGGCGTTTATCAGACATGGCTGACTGATCAGTCCACTGATTTAATGTTTGTTTCCTTATGGTCAATGCGTGAACATGGTGTGAAAATGGAAATTTCTGAATGGAGAAAAATGGCTCCTGTACCTTGGATAATGAAGAGCCTAAGCAGTGCCTTGAAAAGAAAAATGGTACAGCCCTTTTCAGTGTTGTGCTAGGATTTGAATAATCTGTTGTGCAGGCAAGATACTAACTGATAAACTGGTGAATTCATTTTTACTCTGTTTTAACAGATGCTATTGATAAAGGGGATAATCGAAGACTTGGAAAGAAGCCGGTATTCACTAGCTCACAGGTAAGAATTGTTTGTTATTTAACAATTAGTTTTTTGTAAGGGTTTGTGTTTTTTACCAAAACCCACAAACCATTCCATTTTTATTTAATTAGAACTCTGACTTTGACTTATGTGATAATGTGAACTTCTGGAGCTGTTGTAGCTCATAGAAATCCATTTATGTTTATGCAATACCTGTCAGTAATTACAGTCTGTGGCCATCAGATGCCATACAAATGAAATGAGCAGCGGCCTCTCTAAGCAGACTTGTAGCTAGGATAAGCCTGGTTGAGGTGATCAGAGATGGGTTGTCAAGAAGTTTGGCATGAGAAGCTGAGAGCAACGGAGCTGCTGCAGATTTCCCAGCAAGCCAAAACAGAAGCTGTGCTTGTTTTTAGACTTTTTGAATTCTCTGAATCAGCAAAACAACTCACTGATGTAATTGTTCCACTAACACTAAAAGGCAATTAGGAGTTCTAATTTGCTGCTTTTTTTTTTTTGCAAAAGTTTACTAAATGAAATAAAGCAGTTATTAAAAGAAGAATAAGGCACAATTTCTTCTTTCCACTAACATCTGCTAAAAATGTCAAAGAAGTCAGTGGTTAGCCAAATAAAGAAAAACACAGTAGGACCTGCAGTGGTAGGATTTAGGTTGACTTGGAACAGACCAGCAGATCTAAGAGGTGCCAGTAGTAAATTGTACTATGCTACTCCGTTTTGTTTGACTGTCCACTGGTTATTTACTGATTAATCCAGTATAACAGTTATGTCACTAATGTGGTGTGTTTTCTAACAGCAAAGGGCTATAAAATGCCCTTCATCAGCTCCTGAGAGTCCTCCGGTGCAAAGGACCCTCTGGGTGTCCAAACACACTGCTTCTTCCTCCCATAGTGCTGCATCAGCCATGAAGTCTGATGGACTGGGGTCAGCTAACAAATCAGGAGATGGCCACACATCCAAGGCAAAGAATGTAAAGAAGGTAGAAGATCGAAGTGTAGCAGCAAAAGGGAAGGCAACATCAGCTGCCACACCAGTTGTCAGTGGCACTGCAGGGGCCAGGCGTGATCTAGCCTGTATGAGTAGTCCCAGAAGTTCTCATTTAGCTAAAGAGCCAGAAAAGAAGCCAAACTCAGGAGCTAGGTCTAAAACCTCTCCCCCGAGCTGCACATCTACAAGCCAAACAACAGGATTAAGGACTCAGAAGAGCTCGGCAGGAAAGGCTGACACCACCCAAGCTCAGCTCAGTGCTTCATCCACATCAGGCAGCGCCTCGCCAGAGAACGGTTCCAGCAACCACTCCATTCCAGGTTTACTCTCTTTATTGACTCTGACTGACATGAATTAACAATGTAGTACACCACTGCTGTCAAGCTGAGCCAGCTCCAGGCATAACACTTTGGCTAAAATATGAGAGGCCCTGTAGACTAATTAGTATGATGAGTGTTGTGCTATGGCCAAGAGAGTTCTTTGGAAACAAGGCCAGGGTCATGTATGAATGTAGATTTATGAGACACACAGCACATGAGGCTGTCCTTGGCACAGCAGAGGTCAAAGCCCTGTCCAGCTGTCCCACAGGAGGGTGGGACTGCTCAGTTTGAGCATTTGTGGTGAGGTTGGTCTTCAGGGGGTGGGGTAATCCTATCTCTTACCAGTGTTCATGGCTAAAGCAAGCCTCTGCTGTGTGTCCTGCGGTACAAGCACAGCATTGTGTGCCTGTACCGCACCCTGATGGTGACCCATTAAATGCCCTGTGATGTGTTCACATACACAGGGCATTATGCTACCCTTAAGATTAGTTGGTTTATTCTTTGGTAAATGTAGGGTCATATGTGTAATTTTATTTGATTGTTCTCAGCTGTCTGCCCTGACAAACTGCTATTTACAACAGCTGTGCATGTGGTTTATGCACTATGTTTTAGGCGCAAAGCCCAAACACCAGGCTAAGGCAGTGACCAGATCCCCACTGACAAAACCTCCTCAGAAACAAGATACAACAAAGACGAGCAGGTGAGCTTTACTCCTAGCGTGACTGCATGTCGCTTTGCTTTCTCATCACCCGTGTATTCAGTGAAATGCTAGGTGTAACATTTCAAAGGCTGTGGACTTAAGTGCTATTGTAGTACTTAAAAAATGTGATCAATGTGGAGCTCTGGGAGATTTTAAGGGTTCAGGGAGCAGTTTTGCTCCACACAAGGCAGTATTAACAAAACAAGGACAAAAATGACTGAGGAACCCAAGAGAAATCATGAACACCCAAATCCTGAGAAGTAGCTCATCAGTTTTGGTTATCTGGACAGATTGTCAAAGTAGCTGCAGTATGAACTTGAATTTTGTCTTTCAGTGGCATGCATCCTCACTTCAGCTTCACTATGACCCGTCCAACTGGCTATACAAGCTACTTGCCAATATACTGATTTATGTTTTTGCTGCTGTCAAGAGGATAAAGGCAGTTGAGTAGAGTTTTCTGACAAGCTTCTTATCTGTCCTTCAAAGATGTTAAAATGCCCATCTTAGAATCAGCATTATCCAAACTCCCTTTGTCATGGGAACACAGTAATATTTAATGCACTTGATGGAAAGCAATCCTATAAGTTAATGTAGCCAATAAATACCTGACACCCTCACAAAACACAACTTGCTTGGATGTTTGGATTGGCTTCATCTGAAAACAAACAGCTGGCCTTGTGGGAGAGGCGGGGTCCACCCTGGACAGGTCGCCAGTCTATCAGAGGGCTGACACTTAGAGACAGACAACCACACACATCCACACTCACACATGCAACCTAAGCTGCATGTCTTTGGACTGTGGGAGGAAGCCGGAGTACCCGGAGAGAACCCATACAAGCACAGGGGGAACATGCCCAATTATGTGTATAATAAAAAAAAAAAATGGAGGCGCTCTGGGGCGGAGTTGACTTTGGACTCCCCTCTAACCTAAATTTATGTTGTGAGACTTTCTTGTGAGAACTTTGTTTTTTGTTTTGTTTTGTTTTTTACCTGACCTGTAATATTGTTATAATATTGTTAAGTGTTGTTAAGATTTTATAAAACTGTACTTAAAGATGTCAGATAATGATTAGATTTCAAAATCCATCAACCTTGAGCACACAGCAAATCTCAGATTCTAAGAATGTGCTCTTTCTTCCTGTGTTCTTGACAAATGGGAGCGAAGACCGTGCCCCCCCTGCTGGTGTTAAATATAAATTCATGGTTTACATTCCCTGTAGCTGTGCTCATAAATGGTTTTATGATGATGTAAGATATGGATATTAATTAAATAAGATTGCGGTAAAAAGTTTGTGGGCACTTTGTTGTTTTATGATTTTGCCTGTTTCACTGATCACAGTCCTACCAATAAATCAAGTGTGAGAGAAAGTGGCAAAGTCAAGCTTGGTGCAGCAGAGAAAGCATCCACTGGTGTGACAGCAGCAAAAGCAGACAGCAAGGGAAGAGGGGCACTGGACCATCATGGTGAGATGTTCAAAGTCTGTTGAATTGAAAATGCCTTTCAATATGCTGTAGCTAGTATTAAAGTTCTGCTCTGTCTTTGGTTTAGTCTCCAAGCATGGGTCCTCCATAAAAAAGCCAGCTCCCCCCAGGAAAGATGACAGCAAGGACGGGTTGAAATCCTCAGCACCAAACAAAACAGGCAGCGAAGCTTCTAAAAAGACCACAAAACCTGTCTCAGTAAACGGAGCTCCATCTAAATCCAGTGCTAATCCAGCAAAAGCCTCTTCTGCCCCCTCCAAGCAATCTTCAGTAGTAGCTGCTAAGTCTGGACCAAAGCCAAAATGTCCTACTGAATTATCTACAGAGAAAGCTTCACCAAAATTTGGAGGAACTTCCAAGACCTCTGCTGCTGGTGCCTCCAAGAAATTAGGAACTAAAGCAAAAGAGGCATTGAATGATAAAAATTCAGAATGTAACACTGAGCTTGGTACAACAGAGAACACTGGTGATATCACAGACCATCAAGATATTATAGAGCCAGTGCCCTCTGACCAGCCTGCAGCACAGTCAGACAGCCAGGGTGGAGGGGATTCTCTGAGGCTTCAACTAGAATCAGGTCTTAAGCAGAGTCTTGAGAAGACTGAAACACAGTCAGGAAACACCAAAGACAGAGGAGATGAGAGCAGTGTCACACCAGAAGCTAGCAACATCCCTCATGTCAAACCTACTGACGCTGTTGCTTACAAACAGACCGAAGGGAGTAAAGTGAAAGAGTCTCCGAGTGGTGTCATCCCTTCTCATGTCAGTGGAGAGCAGCTTCTCGAGATCAGCTCCCCAAGTTCCCCAAAAGACACGGAACACCCCGTAGACACCCCCTGCAGCGTGGGAAGCACTGACACCCCCTTAGAGGACTCTTGGAGTGGCATTCACCATCAGGTCAGTCCAGAATCTGAGACGGGCAGCCCACACACCACTTCCTCTGACGACATCAAGCCCCGCTCAGAGGACTACGACGCTGGAGGGTCACAAGATGATGACTGTTCCAACGACCAAGGTGTTTCTAAGTGCGGTACCATGCGCTGTCATGACTTCTTAGGTCGCAGTAGCAGTGACACAAGCACCCCAGAAGAGTTAAAGATGTACGAAGGCGGAGCTGGGTTGAGAGTGGAGGTACGGCTGCGTGGGAGAGAGCCAGAGACCACCAGTGAGGAGGAGGGACTACGACAACGGCCTCGGTCCTGGTTGCAAAGAGATGAGGTTCCTGTTGAGGAGGAGCACTTGGAAGTCAAGGCTACTGTGACTGTGAAAAGCGTCCCCGACCACCAGCTTTTCTCCTCTGAGGAGGAGGAGGAAGATGATGATGAAGACGAGACGGAAGATGAAAGATCAGAGGTTGAGGTTATTCCAGGTCAGGCTCCACTGCCCCCAACTGAGGCCTTACCACACTTTCAGGGGATTGTCAACCTAGCGTTTGATGATGATGGTGTGGATCATGAGAATGACCAGCCTGACTACCAGGCACCCTCAAACTTCCACCGGTCAGTGCTGCTGTCTGTTGATGAGTGTGAGGAGTTGGGGTCAGAAGAGGGTGGCGTCCAAACTCCACCTCAGAAGCCCACTGTTGCTGTCACTCCCTGTGATGTTTTTGAGCCCGACTCTACAGCTCCCCGGTCCAATTGTGCCCCTTGCAGTGACCAACAGAACCACCTGCCGTGCAACCATGAAAAAACAGGAATAAAGGCCAAAACACACACAGAGGGAAATGAAGAAAACCCCTCTTTATTCCTTACAGCGATCCAGGAGCCTGTACAGGAGGAGAGGAATCCCATCCTGGTGGATGGTGTGAAGCCCAGCGTCCCTTCCCTGGACGTTGACACAAGAGAGCTCCCTCACCAGGAGCGCCCATGCCACCTGGATCTGCAGCACACTGAACAGTACAACGGTGGGCCATGCAAAAATCACACCAATCCCTCAGAAAACAAGAAGGCTGATTTACATCTAGACTTAAATGAGCCTCAGCTGACAGGGGACTCTCCTGTACATGCTGCACAATCACCAGCAGGTAATGTATGATCTATGGACCCTTCCTAGACCCAAATCCAAACCCATTTTATCTCCCCAAACTCCATCAGTGGAAGTATAGTTTACTCCTCCCCTTCCTAGAACGCACCTTTGTCCAATGTGTACCTACCCTTCCTTTACAGAAAGGATATTATTGAGCATACTAGTTTAGAAACTAGTTCTAAATACAAGTTCAAATTCAAATGCCATCATCATATTTTCCTAGCTACAGATTTACTCTCATCTCAACCCATTGATTGTATAGCTGTTGTAAATTTGAATTTGCAACACCAATATCCTTTTAAAGGTGGAGAATGGTCTTAAAACAATTCATCTAACCTGTACATTTAAACAACTGAACTACCTTAAGTCAGAGGCATTTACCTTGGTAACTCAGTTTACATAATAAATGGAAAACAGTGTACACTGATCATAGAATTGTATTTGTCATAAATAATTTGCCTTGTGACAAGGCCTGTGACATAGATATACCAGTGCACTTTTATGTACATAAAAACAAGATTTTTTTTGGATTATTTTTGTCATTTCTTTTATGCAGTGGAAAAGTCTTTGGCCTTTTTGAGCCATAAATGATTTGATATAGCTGAAGGTGCTATGTATAGCATTTTAACATCAACATAGCTTTGACATATTAATTGCAATTTGTTGGTATAATTAATATTACAGTCAGACCATTGTTGAGATCATTTTGTGTCATGTCAGTATTTTCTCTTAAAATTTAGACATTTCTCACAAACCCCAGTGTTCCTTTTTTCAGGCGATGTTGCTACAGTGTCTCTTTTTTTCTTGCTCTATGAATGTTGCTGCTGTTTTTGTTTGCTTTTTGTTGTTTTTGTTTTATTGTAAATGATAACTATGTTTTTCATTCGCCACCTGACTGCAATTTTGAGACACACAGACTTCTGGCTCTTCTTCTTTTGTGTCATAAGCACAAATAAATCCGGACCTCATGCTACACAGCGTCATTTGCAGTGTAGCATCACTATACACTGCTTGGCTTCTCAGTGGTGGTCTGCTTGTTTACAGTACTTACACTAACACCTCAAAATTCAGTGTAAAAGACGGGGTTGTTAAAATGCTATGTGCAGCGCCTTTAAAATTTCTGGGCAGGTAAATTTACAACCAAGTAATGTTTTCTGGAGAGAGACTACTTAACATAAAGGTCATATATAAAAGGTTTGTTCAAAATAGACAATGCTAAACTGCCACTGCTTCACAGAACAGTGTTTTATTCTGGGAAACTTTTCCTTTGCATCTCCCTGCTGTTTTTCTTCATTTCTGTTTGAGAATGTTCCTGAGTTTTGTGTTTTTTGATTTTTTTTTTTTTTTTTGCACTTCATACATGCATGCTGCTGTTAAAATGATTTGTCATTCCTCTGTGCCATCAATTTTGTGTTTTTATGATCCATTACCTTTTGACATACCTAATAGATATGTCTAGATACACAGATGTCTACTTTTTGAGAAAGATGTTTTTTGTCTAGAGGCTTTTGTTCAGTAGGTTTGTGTAGTGTCAGTAGTCTCTTCTGTAAAGTATGTGATGCACCTCTAGAGCAGCTGTCATGGTTCTGGCATGTCTCTCTTTTTTCACTATCATATTCAGAAAAGAAATCCTGCTGCACCATTACTGAGGGTTTGTCCCGATGCAAACGTAACATTTTTTTTGTTGTCACTATCAAACGGTTACCTTCATCCTTTTCCATTTGTTGAAAACAGAAGACAACAAGGAATGTCAAAAGCAGTTTGGTGGTGTGCCATCTCCTGTGCTGCTAAGTAAAGCACCGCTGCTTGCATACAGGTCTTTGTAACAATCTGCAAGTCTGTTCATTAGGTCTGTCCATTCAAAGACCGGCTCGTAAATCTCAAAACATATCACTGTTACTTAATGACAAATGCAAAGTTCACTGGTGCTGGCAATGCATGGCTTACTTTGTCTGAACCGGTGGATAAAGAGATGCATTCAGAAAAACATTCCCCTGTGCATTACCTTTAACGCAGCTGCCTGCCCTTGGCATCCATGTTTGATGATGATCTTTGAACAAATGAAAATAAAAATAATGGTAATGAGTGTCATTTAATTGACCATCAGGTGACCATTTTGTTGATGTCACTCTCTTTTAATTGACACAGTTGCATTAAAGGTAAACTCTCAACAATCTGTGTTATATTGTAGTTGGCAGTGACTGAAATGAAAAAAGAACTGTGGAGGAGTGAATCAGTTTGTCATTTTGCAGTATTGTCAATTGTTTTTAGGGGACAATGGTTGTGACAGATTGGATCAAAGCTGCAAACATGACCGCCGGCCATCCAAAGCCCTCTCTCCCATTTACGAGACGGATGCGGGAGAAACCTTTGAGCACTGCTTGGACAAGGACAGGAATGTTAAACTGCAGGCAGAAGAAGAACAGCAAGGAAGGGATGATGACAAAAGCATTGAGTTTGTAGAGAGGGACTGGAGCCTGCTCAGGCAGCTGCTCTCAGACCACGCGTCCAATCTGGGTGTCATAAACCCTGTGCCTGAGGAGCTCAATCTGGCCCAGTACCTTATCAAGCAAACACTGTCCCTGTCACGTGACTGCCTAGACTCACAGGCCTTCATGTCCCCAGAGAAGGAGACCTTTAAACGTTGGGCAGAGCTCATCTCACCCCTGGAGGATTCTTCCACTAGCATCACCGTGACCAGCTTCTCCCCAGAAGATGCTGCATCTCCACAGGGGGAGTGGACCATCGTGGAACTGGAAACGCATCACTGATTGAACAGAGGAGACCCTCTCAAACAGTTGCCTTCCCTTGGAACGTCTTTACATTAACTTTGTCTTAGTGTATTATAGTTTATAAGCGTATTCAGTCTCTGTTTTTATAATGTTTCTTTTCTGTATTCTGTGAAACTCTGGACATTGCAGCAGCTTATTTGCATTTCCCACTATGCCCTTAGTGGAGTGTTTCTTTACACAAATGGACTGTTACGCATGCTTATGAGATTTTTGTATGTTTGTTTATTTGATGTTGCTTTGAATGCTCTAGAAAAGAATAAGTATGACAAATCATTACTTTCTCATGGCAGTCTTCTGCTAATATGGTTGACTGAAGTTTCATAAAGAAAAATAATACTGGCCTAATGACTTGCATTTAGTGTTATATTGAAATAAAGGTTTGTTTCTAAAGAAAATGAGAGGAATGAAGTGCTCTTTGTTGTCCTGACATAGAGAGATTATTTGTTTTAGGGTCGTGGGTTACTT